CGGGGCACTGGTAAACACCTCTGGAGCCAGGACTGGGGCTTGCAATGTTCTCGTCCTGTTTCTTTACACCATAGAGGTGGAAGATGTTCAACTGTCTGGGTCAGCCTGCCTGGGTTCAGTCCTGGCACTCAGGGCCCTGCCTCTCTCCTGACCAGGGTGCCATCACTGTGCAGAGCCCTTCCCACATGCCTGCAACACAGTCGGCTGTCTCCAAGGCAGCCTCAACCAAAGCTGAGGCTCAGAGGCAGGAGGAGAGCAGCAGTCACTGCTCGAGAGCTGCAGTTTGGAGCCCGGTCCCCAAGAACAGCATCACTGCAGCCAGGCACAAGCAGAGATGAGACATGAGGCTGACGTGTCAGGAGCAGCCGTGAGCACAGCAAACCTGCCCACGGCATAGCGACACCAAACCTGCCCACAGTGACACCAAACCTGCCCACAGCACACACAGCACAGCAACACCAGCTCTGCACGGAATCACAGCCGGCAGCAGAAGGCTCCCTGTGAAACACCACGTACCTGGCGGCACCACTGACTCACAGCTGACAAGGCGACAAATCCCGCTCGCCTTACTCAGACCCACTCCCACGAGCCCTATCAGGGAGTTTTACATCAAGAGTTTCAAAAGTGCGTTGGAGAAAACAACAACAACGCAGTTCCCGGAGCCCTGGCAGAGCTGCCAACAGCACCTGCCCTCCTGTACCACCAGCACCTGCCTTTCTTGTGCCCATGGCACCTGCCCTCCTGCACCACCAGCACCTGCCTTTCTTGTGCCCATGGCACCTGCCCTCCTGCCCTGGGCAAAGACTTCACATCCCAGGAAAACTCTTAACTCTGGCTTAAACCCGGAGAAGTTTAACTCACACTTCACCCACGTGCGGCAGAACATCTCTGCATGACTCGGTGTTAAAGCAACCTCATCCCAACCCTCGGACCAGCAGCGCTGTCATCAGGGGACTGAAAACACAGCCTGGGGATTCCGTTTGTTGTGACTTTCTCCATCACCCTTTTTCCTTCTTGTATGTGTTTTCCTCATACACCCTCTGTCCCACAGCTGGTCAGTCCTGCTGCAGGAGGCACAGAGCTGCCACAGCTCACTACGGTGGGCTCCTGCTTCTCCGTCCTCCGTGGCCAAATACAGAGACCAGGGAGTACAGAAAATTAGAAATAAATACACAGGGAATTTCATCTATCTGGCAACGAAACAATGCTGAGCCAACAAAAACTGAGGAGTTTAATCTGTCTCCAGTCCAAAAGAATTCCAACATGATCTTGACAGAGAAGCCTAAACAAAAACTTCAAGGGAAAAGAGATGCTCCCTTTTAAAGCAAAGCTACCTAATAATTTTGTTTTCATGGAAATCTTTTTGCCAAGAGACAGTTCCGAGTGAGAAGCTTTTTCTAGAAGAGCAACCTCAAGTGTACAGCATTGGACACAGACTCTGCAGCATCAGGAACTGACTCAAATGATCCGAGGTCCCGCTGGCCACGTGCTACGCAATTAGAGGCACCCACCAAGGTTCCCATTACTGCCTCAATTAGCCATTTGACAAATCACCTTCTGCATTATCCTGCCTGTTTGGGGCAAATATGACTTGCAGAGCCATTTATTCCCTGAGAACATGAGAGCTGCTGCCCAGCTCAGGTGGCAGGCACGGGGTGCCCAGCCTGTGCCTCAGCAGCCAGTGAGCCAGCCAGGATGGGGCAGGGAGCCCCTCAGACACCACAGAGACCCTCACACAGCTAAATAATGGGATAACTGGGCAGTTAAAGCAGCTGCCAGGAATAGCTGCACCCACGGTCCTTGTCAGGGCACAGCTCCTGGCACCACACAGTTTCACCATGGACCCACAGAGTCCTGGCTGAGGGACCAGGGGTGGCCCAGGGGCTCAACATCTGTCCTTGGCTTGAGGGACTTCAGGCAAGGGTGTCCTCCGAGAGCCCTGCATTCACCTCTCCTCACCCCACCTGCTCTCCCCAAATGCCAACCCCTCCCTTTTCCTCTGCAGCCTCTTAGTTCTCCAAGAGCCAACAGTGAGAGCTCCACAGAAGACAAACAGGAGGCCATCACTGTCCCACATCAGCCTGCAGGCTCAGCCATACACTGCTGGCACCACCCAATAAGCAGGCCTGCAGCTCACTTGGGGATGTAGCAGAGGTCTCCATTCCTCCTCGGGAGCCCCACCAGACCCATGCCAGCTCCAGAGAAAGGTACACAGGGACACAGACCCACCCCTGCAGCAGGGCTGTGTGGGAACTCCTTCGACAGCCTGGATCTGGGCATTGCACTGAGGAATTCCGTAACCTAAGTTACTTCTTCAAGATTTGTCATTTTGTTTTCAAAACGACATCTCAAACTCCAGGGTAACAGAAGGTGTATCTGACTAATTTGAAGCAAATGTTTCTATTTTGCTGCAAAGTACATGATTATTTGATATATATTTCTAGAAAGAATGGTTCACTGTTCAGCAACCAAACCTTATACTTTCAATAAGGTTTGGATTTGGCTTTCCAGGCTTGAGCATGTCTCCAGCGTTGCTTCTGTTCAACCACATTTCTCTCTGCTACCCAGTCACACGGACAACAACAGGCTTTTTTTCCAAAGCATTTTAGGTAACTACCTCAAGAATAGTTTTTGTTTAAAACACACACACGCATACGCAAAGCCCACTCTTAGCACAAACTTCATCAGATAGTCTCAGCAAGCACACTTTAATAGTGTGATATTGAAAAGTAATTTTACTACTAGCTAGAAAAGACTGAAGACTGCAGAGGATATATTTAGATGTGTATAAATAGACAACACTCAGTGATGTCTGGTCCAAGGAGTACAAATTTTCCCTAATGCATAGAATATGCCTGGCCCAAAATGCTTGAGCAGCACTTAGACAGCCTTTTCAGTTTGGCTCAGGTTCTGAGCCCGCTAATAGCGAGGCCATTAGAGCGGCACTCCAGCCTCGCTGCTCGCGCAGGGAATATGCAAAGATCGCTCTGTAAAACCGAGCCTGTTACCACATCTGAAAGCACGGGCAGTATTGATCAGCAATGGAAAGCCATTAGCTCTCCAGCCTCTGAGCTACCTCCATGTGCCCCAGAGGAGGGACGAGCCCTCCAGGCACCTCAGGTGCTCCATCTTCCCAAGACAGGCACCCCATGTGCCAGGCCCATCCTTGGTGCTGCACCCGCCTTCATGACTCTAATCTTTCTCAAAAAATTGAGGAAGATCTGGTTTCTTCTTGCCATGCTGCTTTGTCATCTCTTCTGGGTTCCCATCCTGTCCCACACTACCAGACAGCCTTTCTCTCCCCATCACTGCTCACACCTTCAGTGGCCAATGGGAGCCTCTCTAGAAAAGAGCTGTATGAAAAATTCCAACCAACTCCCTGAGATGGCATCCTGAGCACTGCTGCAGCCAAGCCCAGCGCTTCTCCAGGTCACAAAGATGACAGAGTGCCCAACCTGCCAGCTCTCACTGGGAAAGGACAATCTGGAGCCCACTCCCACAGCTGAATGTGTTTGGTGGAATGAGACAACTGGAGCCCTCTCCTGTAGCTGGAAGTGTTTGTTAAACTGGTGAACTAGTTCAGCTTTGAACTTGCACTGGGCACTTGAGATATCCAGGATTTGCTTCCACTGACTGCCCTGCCATGATAAAAACAGGAACTGCTCTTTCTGAAAGAAGAAAGATGAGCTAATATGCCAGGAGATGTTTCTGAGCAAGGCTTGTGACTGCAGGCTGAACTGGCAAGCTCTGGTGTTCATTCTGCTCCAGCCTTACGCATTTAAACACATTTATTATGCATTTAAACAAATGCATAATCCCTTGAGTACAGTATATATATAGAACCATGGATCAGGAAGGTGTTGGGCACTGAGAACACTCCGGCTCTGGTACAGCTCCTTGTGCAGAGTTGAACCTGACTCCCAGATCAGCAGAAAAATCACCAGGCCTGGCTCCAGAGCCCACTGGCACACATCCCCCTGCCAGGATCGACTATGGCAGCAGCACAGAGTCTGCTCCGAGGTGGGGCCCCTACACAGAACCAGGGTACCCAGCCAGAATCCCTGGGGCAGCACACGCAGCACCGAGCACACGGGTCCAGCAGCTGGCTATAGGGGGACACAGCCCCGCCGCACCAGGACAGACTGGTCCTGGCACAGGCAGCTCTGCCCCACACTCCTGGACACAATCAGGGCCAGGATTGGTGCTGGCAGAGCCAGCCCAGGGCCCTCCACCCACAGATGGAACCAAATGGGCTTCAATCCCAGGATGGATCCATTTCACCTCGCCAGCGTGCTGCCTGGCTGTGCTGGTCTGAGCAGCCCTGGACACACAGCGCTCGCCCGAGGATGCTCAGAATGCATGAGCTGACACCACGTGTCATGCAGAACATGTGAAATGGAAGCATGGGTGGGGAGGATCACCAGCACGACAGCACGATGCCCAAGGGCAGGGACTTCCAGCTCCATGGCAGTCACCTGTAGGCTGCACAGGGCTGGGCTTGGCTGGGGACACCTGCTGTCCCACCCCTGGTCTCCAGGACCGGTGAGGCCATGTTCATGACTGCAGATGGGACCAACACCTTCCTCTGCTCCAGACATGCAACATAATGAGAAATGGTCCCTGCCCCGGAGATGCGACAGAGAGAGGGAGGGAGGAGGTGAAGATGCAGGAGGGGAAGCACTGCTGTCCCGGGATGCAGAGGAACTGCAGAGCCGGTGTCCCCCAGCCCATGTTGGCAAAGACCAGTCCGGGAAGGGGCTTTCCCAGTCCTCATGGCCCAGATGTGCCCGTGGCCGCCTCACACCGGCCCGTGCCCGCATCCACTGCTCGCCGCCAGCTGCTCCTGGGCTCCAGGAGTCTGTGTGCTCCGGCATCCGCTCCTGGAGCCGGGAGGGCTGATGCTCTGACACCAACATGGCTGCGAGGCTCCGCCGGCTCCTCCGCCGCTGCTCTGCCATCTCCCCAACGGGAACCTTCCGGCGGGGAACGTCCATCCTGTCCTACATTCGCTCTCCCGCAGACAGTGGCGCTCGCCACGGAGAGGGCGAAGGAGATGGAGGGGAGCGCACCCGCATCCCGGGACGCGGGGGACCGCGGCGGACCCCAGGAGAGAGGAGCGGGGAGAGCGACGTGTGTGTAGCGGGCAGGGGCGCCGGGACGGGGCGGGGGGAGCCGCAGGGTTCCTGCTCGCTCCGACATAGCCCTGCATCCCCTGAGCCGCGATCCCGGCCCCGCAGGAGCGCCCCGGGATGGTTCCGCGCACAGCGGCGCCTCCGCCCGCTTGGGCAGCGCCGCAGCGCCAGCGGTGCCGCGTAACCGGGCGGCGGCGGCAGCAGCGCGGCGCGGAGGGGGCGGCGGCCGCAGCACGGGCGGCCCCGCACCATCGCCGGCCCCGCAGCATCCCCAGCCCAGCCCAAGGCGGGCGGCCGCCGGCGCCGTCCCGCGGGCAGAGGCGGCAGCGCGGCCCGGCCCGTCCGTGGGGTGCCCGCCCTGCCGCTCCGCTCTGAGCCCCGCGCTCCCTGCGGCCGACGCCCTCCCGGGAGGGGCGTCCCTCCGCTGCTGCCGCCGCCGCCGCCCCCGTACCGGCGCCCCCCCGCGCCGCGGGCTCGCCCTGCCCTGGCCGTTCGGGACCCGCCAGGCCGCCCCCGCCGCCCCGTCCCCGGGCCGGTACGGCGGTGCAATGCAGATGTGCCAGGCGCGACCCCCTCTCCGCGTTACCTGGAGCCTCCGGGGACGGGCGGCGGCCGGAGCGCGTCCCCTGCGGGTGCGGCCGCGGCCGGGCCCCGGCGGGCTGCGGGCGCTGGCGGCAGGCGGGCTGCCCGCCGCTCCGCCCCGAGCCGGCGCTCACCACCCGCATCCTACCGCGGCTCCGCGGCGGGGCTGCCCGCGGCCGGGGCGGGCAGGGCGGCCCGGGGACGGCCCCACGCGGCGGCTCGGGCGGGCGGCGGCACATGCACACACGCGCGGGCGGGGGCGGGGGGCGCGGAGCAGCCCGCCCGCATCAGCCCGCCGAGCCCGCCCGCATCGTCCCGCATCGCCCCGCACCGGGCAGCCCGCCCCACTCCGCGCCCGCCGGCGCTGACCTTGCCGTGTACCTGCGCCAGGTTAATCCTCGCCAAGCGCTGCCGCTCCGCGCCCTGCTGCGGGATCCTTGCGCCGGGCGCTGCGCTGGACGGACGGACGGACGGACGGTCGGTCGGAGAGATGGACAGACGTGGCCGGGGCGCGGGCAGCCCCGCCGCCGGGCCGGCGCCTCCCGGGTGCGGGTGCCGCTAACGCGGGGCGGCCGGCGGCAGGGCCATGCGGCTCCGCGCCGCTCCGCGCCGGGCGCGCTCAGGCGGAGCAGCCGCGGCGGCGGGGCAGGGCGGGGAGCGCGGCGCCCGCGGCTCGGCCCTCCGCGGCGGCGGCTGCTGCGCCCATCCTCCGCGCCGCCGGCCTCCGCGCGGCCCCGGCCCCGGCCGCGGGCAGCCGCGCCGCTCGCTGCCGCATGGAGCAGCCGCCGCCTCCCCCGCGCCGCGCCGCGCCGGGGCGGGCTGGAGCAGCCGGGCCCTCCCCGCCCCGCCGCACGCACGGCTGAGCCGCAGCCGCCCGGCCGTCGCCGCGCAGACGTGCGGCCGGGCTGCCCCCCGCCGCGCCGGGCTCCGGGCTGCGCGCCGCCGGGCGGGACCGGCACCGGGCACCGGCACCGGGCACCGGTAGGGACACGGGCACGGACGCCGGCAAGGACACGCCTCCGCCTGCCCCGCCGCGCCGGGGCCAGGCTACAGCGACGGGGACCGAGTGTCCGCGGCCCTCGGGGCACCTGCCAGCCCTTGCCAGCCTCCGCCCGGGGCCCCGGGACCGGAGCGGGCGGCGGGCGGGGTCGGCGCGGGGCTACGCCAGGGTTTGACCTGATCCGACAGATGCACCGGCGGAATCGTCCCGCGGAGCGGCCCCGCGGGGTGGGAGCGCGGAGGCGGCTCCGCTCCGCGCTGCCCTGCATGGCGAGGGCTCCTGCCCACCCCCGGGTCGCACAGCTGCCCTGCACCCTGCCCGGTCCAAGGACAGGGGCTGCAGCACCGGACTTGCAGGAGGGATGATCCTGGCAGGAGACGGAAAGGATGGGTCACCTTTAGGGGAGTAAATAGAGAGCTTTGGGGAATTTCGGGATCGTTACCTGTCTCCTGGATCTCTAACGGGGAGGAGAGTGCATTTCGTGCTACGGAATACTGACACCCTTTTCTAATGCTCTTTTGTGGGAAAATGCCGGGGACGTTGCAGGACCCGAAGCAGAGAAGCGCTACCTGGCGAGCCCGGCAGAGGAGCTAATTAACGAACCTCATCAGCGGCCAGTGACCCCGCACCTGGAGGGATGTGCAGACACGTGCCCTGTCGACCGCTTGGCAACGGCACCGTTTCCTCCGACACCCTCCCGCTGGGACGGGGGGCAGCTGCCTCGGGGGCTGCAGCCGGACCAGCCCGCGGGGCCGCCGCTGCTGAGGGTGCTCTGCGTACTCGGAGGCAGCGGGAGCGATGATGCTGCGACCGGCATCTCGCTGCGGACGCACGTGGGGGGAGCCCTGTCCCAGAAGAAGGAAGATGCAGTAGGAGTCCTCAGACCTCTCTACTGACACTGTGCCAAAGTTTTTTGTGCCTTGGGATGCAGCATCTGGCGTCGGTATGAGTGAGAAGAGGAAGCATGTCAGTGCTCCCGGGCTCAGGGCTGTCCATGAGACCTGAGAGCATTGAAGTCGAAAGAAATTTTGTTTCGTTGGTCTCCACAACAGCCTCTGACCCCGGTCTCAGAAGGAATGCAGCTCCCAGAGCCGCAACATCCTCTGCCCTTCTGGCAGCCTCAGGAGCTGCCCAGAGCCAGGCAGGTTGGGCTGGGCCTGTGAGTTAGGGCTTAACTTCTAGTCCCAGCAGCTGTCTCATGGAGCTGGTTCAATCTGTTATGGGGACAGACAGGCTGGTAGGAGGGAATGAGTCTAATTCTTCTGCTCCCTCGAGGGAAAACTCACGTCAGCTGGTTTTGCTGAGGTGGGCTCTGCTGTCCTTCTGCCCACAGTCCTAACACGGGTCTTCTTTGGAGCTGGAGAGTGTCATGCTCAGCCCTGATTTGGCATTCACAGTGTACTCCCCTCTGGAGAGAGCAGAGAAGATGCTCCCTGGTAAAATATCTATGGTCTTGGCTGGTGTGCACCAGTGCCTCAGGCTTCAGTTTCAAGCATTTGCTGCTCTGTCAGTTCTCTGCTGCCCCAGGAGCAGAGGGGCTGGTGTGCCAGTGATGCCAGTGATGCAGCTGGCATTGGGAAGGGAGATAAGCCTCTGGTACAGCTTCCCTGGCCATAGGGACATGGAGAAGCTCCGTGGGAACTCGGTGGAAGCTTGTGCTCAGAGCCTGGAGTGTACTGAGAGTGCACTGGTTTGTACCATCCAGCACAAACACGCCATGAGGTCTGGTTCAGGACCACTCTGAACTGGTAGCAGTACAGCAGAGTGCAGGAGCTCCACATCCTCACATCTACAGAAACGTCCTGCACTCTCTGGCCTCGGGGCTTTGGGCAAAGGCTGCTGCAGCTTCTCTGCCAGCCTGAAATCCCTCTTGAGACTGAGACAACTCCACAGCCTTGTTAATATATCCAGTGAGAAAACTATTTGTCCCTGGAGTGTCTGGGAGTGTGGGAGCTGTGGGTGTTCTGGGGAGGTTCACTCCCTCATGACTGGGATGGAAACCTGGCCTGTCTGATCCTGGTCCTAGACCTAAGTGACAGTGTGTGTGGAGTGTCTCTGCCTGAACGCTCCCTTCAACGCCCAGGGCTGGGCTGTTTTGGGGCAAATCTCAGTGCCCTGGGGAGAGGCAGGTGTGTGTCCTGGCAGCGTTATCCCCGATACCTGGCAGTGTACCCCACAAATGGCACTGTCCTGCATGGCCCCAGCACTGGGGATTCACTCAGGTGAGCTAGCTCTGACCAGGACTCGCCCTGCCTTGGGGACCCTCCCTGCTGCTGGGGCTCAGCCTCCTCCCCCATTACCCTTCTAAACAAGCCTGTGCTAGGGGATTTGTCTTGCTCTTGCCTCCAAGCAGTGTTAAAATGCCTTTTTCCTGACAGAGCCAGTAATTCCTTAACCTGAAATCTTTCTCCGCAGGTATCATTTTAAAATTTCATAATTTCTTTTTTGACTGAAGTAAGGAGAGCTTCTTGAGGAAAGTGCTTTGTTCAAATAACACACAGAGCTGCTTTTGTGCACTTTCTAACCCTTAGTCACCCCTCAAGGAGGGACCTGGGGCCTGGGCACAGTGTCCTGCAGCGGGCTGGTGACGGGGTGCTGTGCTCACCCAACCTGCTGCCCACAGCAACCAACCCACGTTGTCACAGGGCTCCCTGTCCCTCGTCCCTTCAGACCTCCTCCCCCACCCCAGCATAGACCAGAGCCATCCTTAGAGCTGTGCTGGGAGCCGGCAGCATTCTCGGGAGTCGCTGCCATTCCGCTGGGCCAGCAGAGCTGGGCACTCCAGTGGGCAGGAGGGAGGGGTGGGATGCCCCATGTCTGCAGTGATGATGGCTGTGCCGATACTGGAGCAGGGAGTGTTAAAGCGTAACATCACTGCTCACCGAGCACACAGCTTTCCATGGGCACAGGAGCCCTTCCTCGCCGGGCGGCGAGCGCTGGTACCGTGTGCTGCGTGTACACCCTAAAGGAGACAAGCAGCAGTGCAGGCGAGCAGCGCCCGGACGCTGCGGGTTCTGACAGCCCTGCAGAAACCACGGCGAGGGGTGGCACGTGGTGCTCCTTAAGAGAGACTATGGTACCTCACCAAAAAGTGTTTGAAACCAGCAATGTTTATTCGTCCTTACAAGGAGAAAATCCCCTGTCCTATCCACCCAAATGTCAAGTGTCACCCTGCGTGGATTGGATTCCCCTTCCCCAGAGCACCGGGGAGACAGGAACGCTTCAGGGGCCAGTGCACATCAGCCTCTCCCTCCAGAAGAAGTGGGGAAGTGTGTGGAGTTACCCTGGTTCTCATTTCCTGGGAATGTTTTTCCATTTTAAGTTCTTTAGTCTGTAAGATGGGGGAGCTGTTGCATTGTACAAAAAGGCAGGGACCGATCCTGCTCCTTCCCGAGCGCTGCGTCTCCTTGTCAGCAGACTGGAGGTGAGAGTCCTCCACAGCTGCCCTGGTGCCCACAGCTCTCACCCTCGCTGGCTGGGGAGTCTCTGGGTGAGCGATGCTGAACCCAGCCCAGGCAAACAGGCTGTTTAAGGCAAACTGACGTGACGTTTCTCCCCAGGGTACGTTGGTGGGTGGTGAAGTCCCAGCACAGATTGATTCCCTGTCGCTCCTGTGCCAGCCCCACACTGCCTGTCCCTGCCACTGGCACTGCTGGTGAATCTCCCTGGACCTCTCCCCCAAAACCACTGCGGGGTGGGGGGGCCAGCACCAGTTTTGTCCTCAGACAGACTTGGTTCATCACATGAAACGAAAGCAAGTAATAGATACTGAATAGCCGGAGTGCATCCTTTTAAAAACTTTTAATCAAAAAACAGCTTGAAGTCAAGATTACAGTAGTTGTAGAGTCTATTTGCTTGATCTTTTAACAGATTTGCTTTTTAAGTAATAAAATAATGCACTGACTTTTTTTTTTTTTTAAATCTCCTGCATGATTATATGAAGATTTCTAGAAGTTGGTACCTACCTTGTTAAAGAAGTGCTTTAGTTGTTAGACACAAGCTGGAGGATGAACACAGATGAGCTCTGGGTGACCTCACACCTGCCACAATTCTACATTGCATGAGCACGATTTTGTCTAGGAAAGACCTTGAGGCACAACTGGGAAAAGTTTGCTGTGCTGACTGGGAACCTTGTCCCCCTGG